CTTGATATCTCGGATAGCAAAGGATCAGGGGAAAGGCAGGGCAGGAAGATTTCCAAGAGGCTTTGGGAAGGAGCTGATGGCAGAACTGTTGGCTTGACAGATATGAAGGCTGCAGTGTTGAGATTAGAACTCAGCCCCCTGAAAGCCCAGCCTGGGCGGGATTTAGTCCCTAATTCTGCACCTGTGGGCGCAGAGGTGGCCAAACCTCTTGCTCATGAAACGTGGTGGCTCCTGGAGACCAGAGAGCGTCCAGGGAGTGTGGAGAGCAGAGCTGTGCCTCCTGCAAGGCTCAGAAGCGCTCAGGTGTAATTACTGCCACCCCTCAGTCACGGCTGTCACCTCCCCTGTCACCTCCCCACGCCTGGGTGCCCGGGGTAGTCACGTTTATTTAGAACTACCTGGGAATTCTCCCTGGGAATTCCAGCAGATCCCTCCTGCTGCAATAGAAGCAGATGGGACTCTTGATTTTTTTAAGCAGAAAAGCCGAATCTTTATCGTATAACTCATATTTTTATAGGGATATCAGAAGGCACTGTGTTAAATCTAATTGATTAATAATTTTTTTGCTACTTAATTTATTGGTTAGGAAATGTCTGTGTGTGTACCTGTTAAGACTTTTTCTTTACTTAGGCGTTCGCATTTTTATTTTTTCAGATTTTTATGTGAAAGACTTTTTGTTTTTAGGGGTGTGAAGAGTTTTCTTACTAGGATGGATTGTTGTGTTAACTGATTTTTATTTTCATTATTCTTTTACATGGGAATTTACAGGCTAGCTGCTGGCTTAGCCAGAGTAGCAGGGCTTCAACAACATTTTATATATTTTAAATATATTATATATAGTATATATTTTTGTATTATAATTTATATACTTTATATATATATCTATATATAATATATATAATATAATATAATATAATATAATATAATATAATATAATATAATGTAATGTAATGTAATGTAATGTAATGTAATGTAATGTAATGTAATATAATATAATATAATATAATATAATATAATATAATATAATATAATATAATATAAATTTACACAATTCTTATATTTATATATTTTATATTTTATCTATAAAGCCTTATATATTTTATAAGGCTTTTTTGGTAAGGTATTAATTAAATGCTACACACTCCAGTTGCTGCAGAACTGCTCCCAGTGAGTTTTTGCTGGAGCAGGGAGGGCGATGGGCAGCAGGGAGGAGCAGCAGGGAGGTGCAGCAGGATGCTGCTGCACTGCTGCCATCAAACACGAGGCTGCAACCTTGCAGCCCTGTCCTGCCCTTGACCCTGCAGCAAATCCATGCCTGGATTAGCTCAGCCAGCCTGGAAATCTCTGGGGTGGGAATTAGAGTGGCTTTGCTGCCCTTAATTCTCAGGGGAATTTGTTCCTTTCTGGTTTTCTCCCTCAAACCAAGGTTCTGCTTTTCCTCTGTAGAGGCACCTGAACTTTCCCACAGCCAGGTGCTCTTCGTGCCTTTTCCCTATGGATTTTGATCCCTTCCCTCTCCCTTTTCCCCAGGAAAATGCAGTTTTTGGGCACGGACAGGGAAAAGCCATCCCATTTGCATCCAGCTCTCTAAGTGCCTCTTCTTCATTTCTTTTTTCCTCTTTCTGAGGAACTGTCAGCGCTAAAAATCAAAATTGCTTCTCAAATCAGGACTGAGAGACTCACAACACACCTTGATGGCCACCAGGAATGCTTCCAAATGCTGCCCGCTCTAGGGCTGGGGAAATAAGGTTGTTTTTAGGAGTGAAAACTCAAACTTTCCACAGCTGGGAATTTACAGAGCTGTCCATGTAATTGCAGCTCATACCACGAGGATGTGTGCTGGGTACAGCCTTTAATTGTGTGATCACACAGTTTTCATTTCTAGGTTTTGGTGTTTAAGTTTCCCAATTTCATGCGAAATATTTGGAACTTTTCCTCTGTTTCATTTTCCCCAAATGAAACTTTTTTTTTTTTTAATAGAAACACCAAATCTTTTCTTTTGTACAACATTCAAACATTAACTTTTAACTTTCCCCATGACGCATATAAAGACAAAAATTATTACTGTGAAAACAGTTCTATTTAAAGAAAAAAAGAAAAAATCTTGAGGAAGACAGAGAAGGAAATGAAAGGAAATTTTGATTACTTTATCCAGGGATTTTTACACACTCCCTAAGCACCATTGAGTAAATTCCTGATGAATGGACACAAGAGATGAGCTATAAATGACTCCTCCAACTCCAGCAGGGAGCTGGAACAGCCTGGAAAAGGCTGGAATTGCTGAGCCCATCTCCCTATCTCTGGCCTTTCCTTTTTAAAGCCAATTTTCTTCCTGTAGTCAGAGCTCAGAAAAATCCAGCACAGGCCCAAGGGGCTGATCCTGCCCATCTGAAACCCTTTTACACTTCTTCTCCATGTCCCTGCTTTTTTTAACATTTTTTTTTTGTCCCACCCTGCATTTTCTGCATGGTTCTGCCTCCTCGATATAGTTTTGCACTATGAAAGGGCAACAGGAGAGGAGAAAAAACTGTTGCTGTATTTAGCATTGATTTTTCCCCTTCACTCTGAGTCACAGAAGCTAACATTTAATTAATTTCTGACACTTTGACAGCTCCTAAGAAGACATTTGTAGAGCTATCAAGTGCTGCTGATAGCACTGTCAGACAGACACTTTTTGAATTATCAGCTATTAAGGACCCATATGCAACAAATTTCCAAGGATTATTATCCAAATTGTTCTCTGAATGAGAAAAGCACACAAAAGCTCAGTGAAACATAAAGAAACCATTGTTCCCAGGTGAATTTGATATTTGCAAATGTTTTGCTATTTTGATCACTTTACGTGGTTTAATAAATCGAAGTCACTTTGTCTTTTATTAAGGAAATTAAGTGGCCTTGGTTTGGGGTGTCTGAGAGCAGGGCCAGATTTCCCAGTCTGGTCTTTGTGGAGATGCAGCTTGGGAAACGTGGAATATTTGATGCTGGGAAGGGCTGAGGGTAGGGAATGAGGCCACGGAAACTATTTAGGAATTATTTAGAGTTTAGGAATTATTATTTTAGGAATTATTTAGGTGGGAAAAGCCCAGCCAAGCCAGAACCACCAACACCACTGAACCACAGCCCAGGAACCACATCCACAGGGGTGTGAGCATTCCAGGGATGGAACTGTTCAGTGCCTCACTACTCTTTCCATGTTTTTTTTTTCCCATAATATCCAACTCAAACCTCCCCTGGCACGACCTGGGGCCTCTGTGAAAGGCTCAGGAGCTCCCAGCCAGGTGTTGGCGTTTCCAGCTCTGCCTGGCTGGATTCTGGAGAGGTCAGGAATGATTTATAAACTGAGGGATTCTCAAATTTGAGCCCAGATTGCTTCTGCTGGGTGGAAATCCCTTCTCCAAGTGGGACTGGGATGTGGAGTGGGGACATCCATGGTCACAGCCCAGCCCTGGCAGCTCTGCTGTCACCCCCCTGAGCAGGAGATAACAGTCACAGAACACCTAAGTCTTCCAGAGAAGAGGAATTTATGGTTTTCTTATCAGAAGAAGCTAATTTCTTCAGGCCTTGCTCAGACTGGAAGATGCCATGAGGATTAAAAGAAGCAGCTGACATATACCAGACAGAGTTTCTTATTTTAAACAGAATTTATGCATAACCATGAAGTAGGTATGAATATGCAACAGGCTGTTGCTTTTAAGGGTTATTCCTTTGTTCACAAAACATGCTTTTTGGCAGCTAAGTGTCCAAAAATATCCAGACGTCCGTAATTCTTTGCTTTTTATTGTCTTGCAATTGTCCTAACTCTAAATTTTTATTACTCTAATTGTATTACTATTTTTATAACCATTTTATTATTATGAAGCCATTAAAAATTTTAAAAAACAAGCCATGGGTGTTTTTCACATTGACCATTTCCATTTTCCACTCTGGCCTCTCCAACCCTTCTGTGGCAGGGTTTTATTATTAAATATTTTAAAAAAATTAAAAACCAAGCGATGGGCGTTTTTCACATTTTCCATTTCCATTTTCCATGCTGGCCTCTCCAACCCCTCTGTGGCAGGGTTTTATTATTATTAAACATTTAATAACTGTTTTATTATTGTTAAACATTTAAAAAATTTTAAAAACCAAGAAATGGGCGTTTTTCACATTTTCCATTTCCATTTTCCATGCTGGCCTCTCCAACCCCTCCGTGTCAGGGTTTTATTATTATTAAACATTTAATAACTGTTTTATTAAACATTTTTAAAAAAATTAAAAAGGAGCGATGGGCGTTTTTCACATTGACCATTTCTATTTCCCACGCTGGCCTCTCCAACCCCTCTGTGGCAGGGTTTTATTATTAAACATTTAATAACTGTTTTATCATTAGTAAACATTTAAAAAATTTTAAAAACCAAGCGATGGGCGTTTTTCACATTTTCCATTTCCATTTCCCATGCTGGCCTCTCCAACCCCTCCGTGACAGGGTTTTATTATTATTAAACATTTAATAACTGTTTTATCATTAGTAAACATTTAAAAAATTTTAAAAACCAAGCGATGGGCATTTTTCACATTTCCCATTTCCATTTTCCACGCTGGCCTCTCCAACCCCTCCATGGCAGGGTTTTATTATTATTAAACACTTAATAACTGTTTTATTAAATATTTAAAAAATTTTAAAAAGAAGTGATGGGCGTTTTTCACATTGTCCATTTCCATTTTCCATGCTGGCCTCTCCAACCCCTCCGTGGCAGGGTTTTATTATTATTAAGCATTTAATAACTGTTTTATTAAACATTTAAAAAAATTTTAAAAGAAGGGATTGTCGTTTTTCACATTTCCCATTTCCATTTCCCACGCTGGCGTCTCCGACCCCTCTGTGGCAGGGTTTTATTATTATTAAACATTTAATAACTGTTTTATTAAACATTTTAAAAAATTTAAAAAGAAGCAATGGGCGTTTTTCACATTGTCCATTTCCATTTTCCACGCTGGTGTCTCCAACCCCTCCGTGGCAGGGCGGAGCTGGCAGCTGGCACGCGGAGCCCCATGGATCCCCTCAACCTCTCGTGGTACGACGGGGACAGGAACTGGAGCAGGGCCCTGAACGCCTCGGAGGCGGCGCAGAGGCCGCACTACAACTACTACGCCATGCTGCTCGCCCTCCTCATCTTCATCATCGTCTTCGGCAACGTCCTGGTGTGCATGGCCGTGTCCCGGGAGAGAGCCCTGCAGACCACCACCAACTACCTGATCGTCAGCCTGGCCGTGGCTGACCTGCTGGTGGCCACGCTCTGCATGCCCTGGGTGGTCTACATGGAGGTAAGGGCTGGAGGGAGGGTGGGTGGTGGAATCTGAGGTATTGATGATTCTGAGATTGTAAAAGTCTCTGTCTGTCAGCCCCGCTGCCAAAGCAGAAGCCATAATTGGTCTGTGCTGTTTCAAGGTTGTTTATTTTTGCTTATCTATAACATGTTCTGCTGCCCTGCCGCAGCTCTGTCCTGCAGGGCAGCGTGTGGGGCTCTGCCCTCAGTGGGATGTTACAAACATTAAATACCAGAAACTACCTGTGCTATATTTACAATAACGTGCCAGTGTAACACCCCTCAGTGGGATGTTATAAACATTATATACCAGAAACTACCTGTGCTATATTTACAATAACGTGCCAATGTAACATCCCTCAGTTACATCCCTCAGAGACAAGAATCTCTCAGACCCTTTTTAATTTTAAAGCAGAAGAATAAACCACAAATAAAGCAAAATTCTCTCCCTCTTCTGGACTCACGCACAGGGGCTGGTCAGGAGGCACAGCTGCCTTCATCTACCAGCTGGGGCAATTCTCTCCAGGTTTTGTGTCACAGACTTGGCCTAAAATTCACAATCAAAATGAAGCACTTGAAGAAACCCCAGCCTTGGTGCAAACAGATCTTTTACCCCCAAGTTTTGGAGGTTTCTCCAACACAAATAGAAACACCAAGAGAAAGAACTGCTGCAGCTTCCCCCAAACCATGCCCTCAGGAAATTGGTTTTACAGAGGTTTGGATCTGGCTGGAAACCTTTGCCTTTGGGCAAATTCTCCCCAAAGTTCCTGATGTAACTGTCTCTTAAGTGCTTTTTTAATCACTGAGTATTCATCTGTCACTCAGGATTCAATGCAGTCATTCTTCCTTCTTTATGCTGCCTATGGTTATGTATATCAGAGCAGAAATAACTGAAGAATAGATATCTTATTCATTCTATTTTCAAATGCAGTAGGGCTCTATTTTTGTTAGAGGGAAATATACTTTTTTTTCATCACATGTCAAACACAGCAGTCCGAATAATTGCTATTAAACTTAATTGGCAAAGTTCAGCTCCAACAGCAAGAGAAGTGAAGAGAAAAAAGGCTACTGGTGCCTGGAAGTGTTATCATTAGTTCTTTGTCTTTAGCACATCGTGTGGAGTGTTAAAGGCTTTTCACTCTGAATTAAACTCATTTCGTTCACCAAAAAAAAAAAAAAAATCCGATGAAGGTGAGGAATGCCTAGCCCGATTTTTAAACTAAGAAATGAAAGGAAGCTCTTGCTTGTCTGCTGCTGACCTTTGCTGGGTGTAATTGGAAAAATTGTCTGGGAAAAAGCTGTAAGTAAAATCAGAGGCGCAGGGAATTAAAATGAATGTATTTCCCTTCTCATCCTGCCTTGAAATGCTTCAGGGAGCTGTTTGAGCTCCTTTATCTCCCCTTGTGAGTTGGAGGAGCCTTGTTCTCCCTGGTGGCACTGGAATGTGAGCCCAGGGTTGTGCTGGGGCTGCCCAAAGCTGCAGAGAGCAGCAGGGTGGAACCACAGGGGGAACGGCTAGGAAGGGGCAGAGCTCTGCCCCAACCACCCACCAGCCTCTCCATCCCCGAGCCAAACTCTCCTTGTGTGCCCTGCCAGCAGCCCAGCCCCTGGGAACTGCTCACCAGCCCCAGGGACTGCTCACCAGCCCCAGGGATTGCTCACCAGCCCCAGGGATTGATCACTAGCCCCAGGGATTGCTCACCAGCCCCAGGGATTGCTCACCAGCCCCAGGGATTGCTCACCAGCCCCAGAGATTGCTCACCAGCCCCAGGGATTGATCACCAGCCCCTGGGAACTGCTCACCAGCCCCAAGGAACTGCTCACCAGCCCCAAGGATTGCTCACCAGCCCCTGGGAACTGCTTACCAGCCCCAGGGATTGCTCACCAGCCCCAGGGATTGCACACCAGCCCCAGGGATTGCTCACCAGCCTCAGGGATTGCTCACCATCCCATTCTCTCTTTGCAGGTGGTCGGGGAGTGGCGGTTCAGCCGCATCCACTGCGATATCTTTGTCACCCTGGATGTCATGATGTGCACTGCCAGCATCCTCAACCTCTGTGCCATCAGCATCGACAGGTGAGGGCTCTGTGCCACCACCAGGCTGTGCCAGACCCGTGGCCAGAAAATGGTGGGACATTTTTGAAGAGCAGCTTGGAGGATCTCGATGAGCTGAGAGCAGGGAATTGTGTCTGGAGGCACAGCAACACTGATACTGGGAACGCAGCTGGAATTGCCTCTGTGCTCCCCTGGCTTTGCCCTTCTCTCTGCATTCTGAGATGTGCAGCGGGCGTTGCTGGCAAGGGTGGAAGGAGCTGACCCAGCCTCACCCCTCCTGGTGTGGCTGCAGCCACCCTGGGATGGTGAGCTGTGCTGGTGGGGCAGGAGATGGGTGCTGGCAGGGTGACAGCAGCCTGGGGGTGTCCTGGCAGCCCTGGCAGGGTGACAGCAGCCTGGGGGTGTCCTGGCAGCCCTGGGAGGGTGACAGCAGCCTGGCGGTGTCCTGGCAGCCCTGGCAGGGTGACAGCAGCCTGGGGGTGTCCTGGTAGCCCTGGCAGGGTAACAGCAGCCTGGGGGTGTCCTGGCAGCCCTGGCAGGGTGACAGCAGCCTGGGGTGTCTGTCCCCTGCAGGTACACAGCCGTGGCCATGCCCATGCTCTACAACACCCGCTACAGCTCCAAGCGCAGGGTCACCGTCATGATCGCCGTGGTCTGGGTGCTCTCCTTTGCCATCTCCTGCCCGCTCCTCTTCGGCCTCAACAACACAGGTGAGGGCTGTGCCACCTGCAGCTGGCTCCTGTTGTCCCCCTGGGTCCCAGGTAGGCAGGAATGAAGGTGGGATCAGGTCTGAGGGGTATTGGAAGTGTCCCCTCCCTCTGCCCCCCTCAGTGTTTGCACGCTGGTTCTGGGTCTGTTTTGTCTCCAGCTGTTCCAGGGCAGGGTTTCAGACTCACCAGAACTGAGGTGACGTAGAAGTTCACACAACACCAACCTGTGTAACCTTAGCATTTGTCCACTACAAATTCAAAATCCTTCTTCTATTAAAACACACAAAGAGGAAAGCCATGGGGCAAAACCTTCCCTGAGGCAGCAGAGAAAGGACTGGCAGTTCAGGCAGCAGCTTCCTGGGAACACTGGGCTGGATGCAGCAGGGGATCAGCAGTCCTTAGCTCCGAGGCAAGGAGTAGCCAGGAATTCCCTACAGCCCGCGGGGAGGTGACCCCCTCAGCAGGGACAGCAACCACACAGAATCACAGAATAATGGGGTTGGAAGAGACCTCTAAGGTCATCAAGTCCAACCCATGCCCCAACACCTCACTAGACTACAGCACCAAGTGCCAAGTCCAGCCTTTTTTTAAACACATCCAGAGATGGTGATTCCACCACCTCCCTGGGAAGACAATTCCAGTCATCCTGAACGGCTTTCTCTTCCAGATGAGAAGGAGTGCATCATTGGCAACCCTGCCTTCGTGGTGTACTCCTCCATCGTGTCCTTCTACGTGCCCTTCATCGTCACGCTGCTGGTGTACGTGCAGATCTACATCGTGCTGCGGCGGCGCAGGAAGCGCGTCAGCACCAAGCGCAGCAGCCACGTGCTGGACTCGGACACGCAGGCGCCCCTGAAGGTACCAGCCTTGCTTCCTCCCCCTGCCCTGCTCCTCTGCCCCACACCACCCTCCTGGGCCACAGCGCTGGCTCCCAGGGGTGGTGTGGTCAGCCTGGGGTCCCAGCTCGCTGCCTGGGGTCCCAGCTCACTGTCTGGGGTCCCAACTGCACAGCCTGGGGTCCCAGCTCACAGCCTGGGGTCCCAGCTCGCTGCCTGGAGTCCCAACTGCACAGCCTGGGGTCCCAGCTCGCTGCCTGGGGTCCCAGCTCACAGCCTGGGGTCCCAGCTCGCTGCCTGGGGTCCCAGCTTGACAGCCTGGGGTCCCAGCTCACTGCCTGGAGTCCCAACTGCACAGCCTGGGGTCCCAGCTCACAGCCTGGGGTCCCAGCTCACTGCCTGGGGTCCCAGCTCACTGACTGGGGTCCCAGCTGTACAGCCTGGGGTCCCAGCTCGCTGCCTGGGGTCCCAACTCACAGCCTGGGGTCCCAGCTGTACAGCCTGGGGTCCCAGCTCGCTGCCTGGGGTCCCAACTCACAGCCTGGGGTCCCAGCTGTACAGCCTGGGGTCCCAGCTCGCTGCCTGGGGTCCCAACTCACAGCCTGGGGTCCCAGCTGTACAGCCTGGGGTCCCAGCTCACTGCCTGGGGTCCCAGCTCACTGACTGGGGTCCCAGCTCACAGCCTGGGGTCCCAAGTGTACAGCCTGGGGTCCCAGGTCACTGCCTGGGGTCCCAGCTGCACAGCCTGGGGTCCCAGCTCACAGCCTGGGGTCCCAGCTCACTGCCTGGGGTCCCAGCTCTCTGCCTGGGGCTCCTCGGGCCCCCCTGGATCTCAGGGCTGTGCCAGCAGCAGATCTGCACCAGGAGCTGCTGCATTAACCCCGAGCATTGCCGTGGGCTGGGCTGGGGTAGCCAAGGACAGAGGCTGCGGCAGTGTCTGGGTCAGTCCTGCAGAATCACAGACTCGAGGAATGGTTTGGGTCAGGAGGGACACAAAGCCCATGGCAGGAACACTTCCACTATCCCACATGGCTCCAAGCCCCATCCGACCTGGCCTTGGTCACCTCCAGGGATGGGGCAGCCACAGCTTCTCTGGGCACCCTGTGCCAGGGCCTCCCCACCTCACAGGGAGGAATTCTCCCTAATATCCAATCTAAACCCACGTTCCTTCATTTAAGGCCGTTCCCTCGTGCCCTACCACTCCAAGCCCCTCTCCAGCTCTCCTGGACCCCCCCTTTGGGCTCTGTCAGGTGTCCCCAGGGTCGGTGGCACTGCCCGGGGTGCCAGCCCCTCTCTGGGAAGGACAGCTCTGCAGGGATCAGCCTGTCCCCGCGGGAGCTGCGTGTCAGGGAGCCCAGCTGGGCGGGCTGGCTGTGAATCCACTTGGCAAAACCCGGCTCTGGTGCACGGCAGCACTGCCAGGGGGATGTGCAGCCCCAGAGGCTCCAGCTCCACACGGTGCTGCCCGCAGAGGAGGCAGCCAGACAGGGACACACCAACACAGCAGAGCTCCGTGGCCTCCTCCCTCTGCTGAGCAGCACAGGGGGCAGCAGCCTCCATCCCTGCTCCTCCACACCACTTCTCCATCATCCACTTCTCCATCCGGCCCGGCACCTCAGCCAGGCTGATGAATTCCTGGTTCATTCCTTGTATTCCCACGTGCCTCCCTTACCAGCTTCCCTTCCCAACCCTCTCTGCCTGTGTAACCTCTGAGCTGGTGCTTGCCCCTTAGGACAAATGCACTCATCCAGAAGACGTCAAGCTCTGCACAGTTATTGTGAAGTCCAATGGGAGCTTCCAAGTTAATAAGCGCAAAGTGGTGAGTGTTAAAGAGAAGTGGGAGCTTTCCAGAGCCTTCAGCCTTCCCCTTCTCCCTCAGGACGTGAGGTTCATTTATGTAGGGTGGGAGAAAAATAAACCTAAGAGCAAAGGTTACCATTCAATCTCAAAATTTAAATAGTCTTCCCATTCCTTGGAGTGAAGCAGGGGGTTTAAGCTCACAGAGCTCACAAAGCCAGATTAAGCTCACCGAAAGATCAGCTCTAAAAGCCACGGCATTTGAACATTTTTGTGCCTTTGATTTCCTTCTCCTCTCTGTTATTTAAATCTTGGACTGCATTGGCTTTGATGGGTTTTGGTTGTTGATTCCATTTTTATTTATTTGCATTCTGCAAACCTGAATAAAATCTGTAGGGAGTGGAGACAGCATCTCCCCCATTTCTGAGCCTCTTTGTGCCAAAAAGAGAATCCTCCAGTGCAGCTCTGTCAATCCCATGTGCCCAGAGTATCCAAACACAGCAGAGCCCTTTCTCCAGGCGCCACGCAGGGAGGGAGAAGAGGGATTCACTGTCCTCCGGCATCGTCCAGCTTCACTCTGTAAGGAATGTTCGTTGCTCCTCTCTGTGTATTTACCTGTCATTATGTTGTGGACATTTGATTCTTGTCCAGGAGGCAGAGAGTCACATAGAAGAGATGGAAATGGAGATGGTGTCCAGTACCAGTCCCCCTGAGAAAGCGGCCCTCAAACCCACAGCACCAAGTAACCACCAGTTGATTGTGCCAGTTGCTTCTAATCGGGGCAACAACTCTACCCTGCAGGCACCCCTGAGCAGCCCTGGGAAGGTGGAGAAGAATGGCCATGCCAAAGAATCCCACCACACAGCCAAGGTCTTCGAGATCCACTCCCTGCCCAACGGCAAGACGAGGAACTTGCTCAAGGCCGTGATCAGGAGGAAACTGTCCCAGCAGAAGGAGAAGAAAGCCACCCAGATGCTGGCCATCGTGCTCGGTGAGAGCGTGCCCTGCCTGCCCTGGGGTCCCTGCACAAATCCCAGTCCCCGTGGCCCCTGCAGGCTGATTTTCCACCAGCCCCCCTCAGAACTCATTTCCCTTCCTGCGTTAGGGGATAGCAGGCAAGGGCTGCCCATGGAGGGGTCCCTCCTCCCCAGCCAGCACAGCTGGCAGTGCTGCACTGAGGGTGCCCAAAGCTGCCCCTCTTGGGGGCATCTGAGCCCCCAAAACCAGGGAAGAGCTCCTGGGCTTTCTGGAGCAAAAGGCAGCAGAGCTCAGCAGAGCTGGCACCTCTGAAGGGCAGAGTTTCTGCTGTGTCTGGGCTCATTCCTCGAGCAGAGCAGTTCTTTAGTAGCAGGGCGGGACACAGACCAGGGCACAGCACACAAACACAGAGCTCATTCCTCTGGGAAACGCATTTCCCTTCCACCAAAGAGAACCTCGCTGCTCTGCCAGCCCGAGAATCTGCCCAGCTTTCAGCAATCAAAGTCCTCCTGTCTCCTTTTCCCCCCTAGGTGTTTTCATCATCTGCTGGCTCCCCTTCTTCATCACTCACATCCTGAACATGCACTGCGACTGCAACATCCCGCCGGCCATGTACAGCGCCTTCACGTGGCTCGGCTACGTCAACAGCGCTGTCAACCCGATTATCTACACCACCTTCAACATCGAGTTTCGCAAGGCTTTCATGAAGATCCTCCACTGCTAAAGCCACAAACAGCACCCGCATTTTTTTTGGGATGGGAAGAGGAAGCGATGCCATTCACGCACGGCGGGGCGGCCGGGGACGGGCTGGAGCTCTTGAGCCGGGCAGCGCTCGGTGCCCGAGCGCCTGGCGGGGATGGCACGAGGCAGGAGGGTCTCTCACCCCGCTGGGTGACCTCTGGACCGGCCCCAAGGGCGCTTTTCAGAGCCACCCTCGCGCCGTGTTGGAAGTGGAAGTGCGAGAATCGAGGCGCTCTCGCTCGGTTCTCGCCCGTGGCCGCCCGGCCTGGAGTGCACTGGACACGCTGGACACAGAGTGGCCACGGGGCCAGCAGGAGGTAGCGCTGGGCCAGCGGCACAACTCTCACCAAAGACAAGGCCGTCCTTCCCGCTTGGCAGCAGGAGCCACACGGGGCCTCCGGGAGCTCCGTGCAATAGCTTTGCCTTCACCTCGAGCTGACTCACCCGGTGTTTAACTGCTGAAGCCTTCAGAAATTACATAAAAACCAACCCAAAAAACTTTCAGAGGTCCCCAGGCGGGTCGAGAAGGTTCTGCCACCCACAGACCCTGCAGCAGAGTGAGCCTACGAGCCATGGGTGGAAGGGAGAAGGGGGCATCAGATTCACATCAAACCATCGGTGTAAATAGGATGGATTTTGGAGCCCCAAGCCAAAAAAAAAAAAAAAAAAAAGAGATGGAGAGGGAAATACAAGGAGTAGATCCTTGCCTTGCATGGTGTACATCCAACAGGACCCCCTCATCTCCCATCAGTGATTTCTGCCCACCAGCAGCTCATCTCCAGGCTCTGCCCAGGGTGACAGCAGGGGAGGGGTGGCAGCGTGGTGAATGTACAGACACGAGGACACTGTGCCAGGGGAGGCACCCTGAGCACCCAGCCGGGCCAGGGCTGGTTCTTCTCACCTAAATCAGGGGTCCCAAGGAGCACCTCGGCTCTGATTTGCCTCTGCCTCTCCCCAGAGAGTGCAGAATAACATTGTGCCTAATTTAAATCAACAGTCAAGGAGATAAAACTGTGCATTTTGGAAAAAGCCAGAATAAAACCCCAAGAAAGCCCCTACCTGGACCAGCTCCTGTGTCCAAGCTGGACTCTGGAAAGGTCTGGATGTTTCCAGCATCCCTTACTCTCTGCTATCTATTTTTCCATGGGTTCTAGGGGTGGAAAGCCCATGAGAGCATCATTTCACCACGCTGAATCTGGCACTGCCAAACCCACGCTGTACGTGCTATTTGTACTCAGTCCACGTGCTACTTTGCAATATCTCTGTAAATAAAACACAGCAAGGTGAATAAAACAACGTGGAAATAGGTCTGGCTAGAAATTCCTGCAGGATGTGGAGCAGCAGAGGGTTGCAATAGCCATAAACAGGGGCAGACTCCCAGGGTGCAGTTTCCTGCTGTTTTCTAAAGGAGTAAAAACACAATTGGGAGAGCAATAGAATCCCTTTATTTCTCTATGCAGTTCGTGGAATATTCACTCAGTTTCCACTTCAGATGAGGTGCAGATCTGCCAAGGTTTCCTCTAATTCCCTGGATTTCCTGTACTGCTACCAGAGCATCTCCTGTGCTGGTAGGAAGTGTTCCAGCTCCGATTCAGGAGGAGATTACAGCAAGCAGCTCTGGCACATTATCTCAGCTGTTTTCTAAAACTGAAGCAGCCGTCCCACCTTAATCCACAGGTTTCTGTTCCAAACCTGGCATTCCTGGAACGGGCTGGAATCCAGGGGTTGGATTTTCAGCCCACAGCCTTGTGGAACATTTGAACCTGGCTCTTCATTGCTAAAAACTGCAAAATTGGGAAATTTTGCAGCTTGAGAGATCTCAGGCCCACATGAGCTGTTCTTTCTTCCCCACAGTTTTAACCAAACAAATTTACTCAGTGACGGGAATCAACTCAGACTTGTACCCCAAAACTCACAGAATAATGTAAAGGCAGGAGGTTTTTGAGCACAAAAATAGCAACAAGTTACTGGTCTGTTTTTTAATGTATTTACAAGCAGAAAGATCCATTTGACTTGGGGAATTAACAGGTGGGGAGCTGAACAAAAATAGCAAATATTACATATATAGACAAAAAAGCTTTAAAGCGTTAGGAAGTTGCCATAGGTGATGTTTGCCCTGTACTAAAGTCTGGTGTGAGCCCTCAGGATAAGTGGAATCATAATATCCCTCAGGATAATGTGGATAATACATTAACTTTGTGCCATAACTTTACTTTGTGTCCAGTCTTAACCCAAGGAAAATCCTCATCTCCAAGGCTGTGTGCCTTGCTCCCAATTTTTTTTTTTTTCTGATTCTAGAAGCAGAACTTTCTAGCTCAACCCACCTGAAAAACTCTTCCAGAATGCCATGGAGGGAAAAAAGCTGCAGGAAAAGGCCTCTGTCCTTCATGTGGAGCAAAAATGCGCTGGTGTGATTTCCCAGATTTGCTGTGAGGAGTTACCTGAACCCACTGACACTCCCAAGACACTTCAAGCTGCTCCTTCCTAACGCTCCAGGCTGAATTTTGGGCATGTGAAGTCCCCAGTGCCCTTGGGGAGGTGGCAGTGCCAGCTCCGGCCAGCTCTGCAGCAGGTTTTCCTTCCCCAGAAAACTCCTGCGCTTCCAGACAGCAAATAAAGCACTTTGAAAGGCAGACCTGAGCCTTGCCCTTCTGGAGACAGCACCAAACCTCATCCTCACCTCTGGCTTTCCAAGGAGTGGGGCAGTGCCCAGAGCAAGGCTGGCACCAGGAGAGCAGTGGGAGCTGCTCGCAGGAACTCCTCGTAGGAACTCCTTGTAGGAAATCCTCGTAGGAACTCCTCAGAGCTGCTCGCAGGAACTCCTTGTAGGAACTCCTTGTAGGAACTCCTCTTAGGAACCCCTCATAGGAACTCCTTGTAGGAACTCCTCAGAGCTGCTCGTAGGAACTCCTTGTAGGAACTCCTCATAGGAACTCCTTGTAGGAAATCCTCATAGGAACTCCTCTAGGGAAATCCTCATAGGAACTCCTCGTAGGAACTCCTCATAGGAACTCCTCATAGGAAATCCTTGTAGGAACTCCTCGTAGGAACTCCTCAGAGCTGCTCGTAGGAACTCCTCAGAGCTCATCCACAGCTCCGAGCCTGGCAAATCCACACCTCACTGCTCCCTCCACTCTGAAAAAAGAAACCTCTGCTTCCCCAAGGACTTCTGCTGGCAGGACATGCTGGTGATGGGAAGGGCACTGAGCTGGTTTTTAAAAACACCTTAACGAGAAGATTTCATTTCTTTGTTCCTCCAGAACTTCAGAGCCTTGCTCTAGTCCCTCTTTTGTGATTCATTATTTATAATTGAAGCTTTCCTTCTGCTTATTGAGTCTTCCTGCTCCTGCTTTCCCTCCCTGTGATTCCCAGCTTGCTGAAGCCCTGGGTGGGGATCTCTGCACCCCCAAACAGGTTTGAATTAAAAGCCAGTGAATTCTGCCTGCTCTGCTGCTGCTTGCCTGCTTGCTCCCACTCCACAGAACTGTTTATCTTCCTGGCTGAAGAATAAATTAACTCCAGTAGGTCTAACCAGCTTATCCAATCCTGCTGAAATAAAATTTAAAAAAAATAAAATAAAAAAAATAGAGGAAAACAGGAAAATAAAGCCACTACCTCTTGTGGTGAAAATCTCCAGAGCAAACACGACTCCCCGGGAGTCAGGAATGTATAAAATGCCCATCACAGGTACATGTGACACCAACCAATGTCTTCATGCAGCACTGTAATTAAATAGAGACTTGCACAAGCCGCCCTGATGTCGATCTGATTGTTTTGTTCTGGTTTCCCCCAGAGCTCAGCTCCAGGGAGCTGCTGTGGTTCTGCTGCAGAGCTCAAACACGGAGCAGAAGCTGCCTTCACACGAGATTTGGCTTTTTTCTGCCTTGCTTTCCAGACTACTTCCCTTTTTCCTCCCTTAGCCCAGTCTATCCTTGAGAATTCTGGTGTTTGTCTTGCCTGCAGCCACGAGAGTCAGACACGAGAGAGGGAAGATGCAGAAAGGCACAGACAGAAAGGAAATGGTCTGAAATGTCTCTCCTCTCCCAGGCAGAAGTGGGCTGGGGAGGATGGGTGGAGGAAGGGGTGGAAAGCAGAGGTGCCCAGCTGAATTTATGCTGGGCGACTTAATTGTTTTATTTTGGAATATTTTCATTTATGTTTTATCAAGTTACACTCTCAGGTTTGGTGTTTGTGCAGGTGGACCCTCAGCCAGGCTTAATAGGCACTTTTAAAATAAAGATTATTTTCCTTATATAAAAGAAGAAGAAAAAATAATACAAATAAAACCCATCCCACTGCTGGGAAAGAAAGCTGCCTGTCCATCTCCAAGAATGGACAAGCTAAAATTTCAGTTTAATGGCATTTCAGATGCAAAGGTCTGCTCAGCTTTGAGCCAACACAGAATAATTCCTGCCCCAAAGCCCTCAGTTTATGCAGAAACCAGAATCTCCAGAACTGCTGAGTTCACATGAGGCTGAATTCTCCCTGTGGGATGATTTACCTCAGTGCCACCGTGACTGAGGGAAAATGAGGAGCTCCAAATGCCCCCTCCCCTCCCAAGCACACCCGAATAAATGATCTTTTCAGATCAAACAGGACACTCCAGGTTGTTTTCTGCCTGTCTGGCCTGAGCCTGCCAGGATCAAAGGCAGTGACTCTGAGGTTCACCCTTACAGCCAAATTTCATTTCTAAGCCTGTGGACAAAAGCCATTCACAGCAGCCAGAAGAGATAAATGGAATGATCTGCCCATCTCCTGGGGCATCTGAGTGAGTCCTGCTGCTCCAGGTGAGGCCTGACACATCCATGGCTGTGCTTTCTTCTGCACACCCAGGGAAAAATAAAAAAGAGAAAACCAGTTACTCTTGTTAAATTAACTCCCTGTCTTTAATCAAAGCTCCTTTTAATAATTCCAACCGCTCCCCCAAGTTTTTCTGACGATACCAGCCTGTCTGCTTCATAAAGAGCTTTTGACTCACAAATAACAACTTTCTTCACCAAAGAAAGAGTGATCACAGTGGACTAAACATAATTAAGGCACCATGAATAATTAACAGACCTAGAAATGCCTTTAAAGAGACTTAAGAAGCGAAGCAAAACCCTTTCAAAGGAGAGGAAAACATTGTGCCTCCCCAAGCTGCCATGCTGGGCCCGGGAAGAAGGAGTGGGCTAATGAGAGTGAGTGAGCACATTTATCAGAGCAGCTCTGCTCCCTGCTGCCATCCTCCCTGGCACGCAATCAGCCTGATGAGCCTGCCAGGGGCACGGCACCCCCAGCTCCTCCTGCCAGCCTGGGAGGATGCAGCAGCACGGGACTGGCCCTGCCCTCGGTGAAAAGTGGTTTTCCTGGCTTTGCCAGGGGGTTGGTGACACAAAGTAGGGGCACGAGGTGAAAAGCGGTTTTTCTTGGATTTGCCAGGGGGTTGGTGACACCAAGCAGGGACACTGGGTGAAAAGCAGTTTTTCCTGGCTTTGCCCAAGCAAAGGGGAGTGGGTGACACAAAGCAGGGGCACAAGGTGAAAAGAGGTTTTTTGGTTTTGCCCAAACCCCTGCCTGCCAGGAGAGCTGGTGACACAAAGCAGGGGCATGAGGTGAAATGCGTTTTTTCCTGGTTGTGCCTAAGCAAAGAGGAGTTGGTGACACAAAGCAGGGGCCCTGGGTGAAAAGCGGTTTTTCCTGGTTTTTCCAGGAAAGTTGGTGACACAAAGCAAGGGCACAAGGTGAAAAGCGATTTTTCCTGGTTTTGCCAGGGGAGTTGGTGGTGCCAGGCGTGGCACAGCAGCAGAAGTGTGCAGGAGGCTGGGGAAGATGGGCTCTGCAGGGATGGGGCTCAGCTGCTGCCCCTGCGCTGGGGCAGGGGGGGAATCAGCCCCTGGAGCTCCTGGCTGAGGGGGGACACCTCTCCAGAAGTGCTGACTCTGCAGGAACAGGCTGCTTTCCCCCTCCAGGAGCCTCCATCCCCTCCCCTGCAGCACCCCAGACCCCATTCCAGAGAATTCCCTGCTGCCAGGGCAGCGCTGAGCCCCTCTGGGGCAATGCCAGAGCCCAGCTCCTCCTGGGGACAGGAGCTGCCCCACCTCTTCACCTGGAGCCTTGGGATGGGGAAGTTTTAAGGATGTGAAGGGTGACAATTCCTGAGCACAGCTGCCACATCATCCTCTGCTCCAGGAGAGCAGGACAGAGCAGCAGGCACCACCCAGACCCTTCTTCCCATGGCTGATGTTGTGGGGGTTTAACGCTGCACACAGGGGAAAGAATAAACCAGCAGAATTCGAGGGTCCTTTGGCTGCTTCTGCTTCCTGTCTG